TGGCGATTGACATTACATTTAAACTTTTGAAGATTGTAGTTATCAGAGAAGCAAGGAAACAGAAATGAGTTCCACGGGCAGGAAGTGAGAGAAAATAAACTGTTGGAGTAGAAGTGGCGGTTATATTTATCTAATTCAATAGTTCAATAAAAGGGTGGGACCTCAATGCCAATCTAGTAGCACACTTAAACTCACGTAGTCCGTGATGTGAGAAAGTGACTGAAATCGAGATGTCAAGGCAGGATCGATTATATTACAGATCCTTTTTTGGGTTTTGCCAAGAACCTTGAGATGAATAGCAGGAGCACCAAACCAGATATGGTAACAAAATTCAGTGCATGGATGAATGCTAGATTTATAAATGTGCAAGATGGACTTTGACGAGAAAAACTTCTGGCACGGGACAGTGACCAAACTTTCCTTGCAGTAGATGCAGCTATTGATTCGATGTAGTCGTTCCACTTCAATTCAGTTGAAAACGTGAGGCCAAGAATGTGCTTTGTGTCGCACTGCATGAGTCTAGCATCAGCCATGGAGCAGAAGAGTTTCTCTCTGGTGATTAAAGTAAATTCGTTTTGGAAGCGTTAAAATTTACGAGTCATTTCTTGCCCCAGTTAATCCCAGATTGGATGTCCTTTTCAAGAGCAGCAGTCAGGTTAACTTTGTCAGCTCCGGCAGATTTGTTATTGAGACAAGAGTAAATGATAGTGTCATCAGTATAAATGCCTGCTTGGGAAACTGATGACACCAGGAAGATCATTGAGGAAGATCAGAAATAACGTAGGAGACAGGATAAAGTCTTGGGGGACACCCGCGTTCGTGTAAAAGGATTTAGAAGCGAGCATGTTCAAAATGGCACTCCATTCATCTATGTCCCTTTTCTTTCCATTATATTTGTTTTTAAATATCCCACATTATGATAACAGGAAAAAGATGATGGAAAGAAAAAGAATGAAAACATGAATTTGGCTAGACTGAAAAAAAATTATTTAAAAAAAATGTTGAAACTACCAGCGTCTCTCGCTCATACGCCTGTGTAGTCATAATAACGTCAAAAAACCCAGTCCAATGAAGTTCTGACAGATGAAATGCGTCACAAAGAATTTTTTTTCCATTGTGTCTGACTATCTATTTAGGAGGAGGCACTGTGGGATTAATGGATAGCAGCTCGGATTGAGGAATCAGAGTTCGAATTCCAGTCGAATCGATTATATTCACTTCCGTACTAATACCCTTGGGAAAGGTATGAATCCACTTCTTCTTCCCCCTCCAGATATGGTTAAATTGCAGGACAGAACAGGTTCTATAGCTTTGGATGGCAACTGGTCTACCGCAGAAAGAATGCTAATACCCTTGGAAAAGGTATGGATCCTCTTCTTCTCCCCCCCCCAGCTATGGGTAAATAGAAGGACAGTCCGGGTTCTATAGCCTTGGACAGAAAGAATGCAAATACCCTTGGGAAAAGTATGAATCCTCTTCTTCTCTCCCGCGCCAGCTACGGGTAAATAACAGGACAGATCGGGTTCCATAGCTTTGGATGGCAATTGGTCTACCGCAGAAAGAATGGTAATAACCTTGGGAAATGTATGAATCCCCTCCTTCTCCCATCCCCAGCTATGGGTAAATATCAGGACCGGGTTCTATAGCCTTGGATGGCAACTGATCTACCGCAGAAAGAAATAGCAATCCTGTGCGTAAAAAAAAAAATACCTCATCAGTCATAGTCTGTCTATATTTCTGAGATGAGGTATTATGTACAGTATTTACATTAGTCGGACTATTGTTCTCATCTTTGTCGCCATATTTTTCACAACGTTTCGGCCGTTGTACGCTTCGGCCTTCTTCAGGTGGTGGGAATTTCGAACTGAACCCTTTATTTCGATCACTGGGGTAGACTGTTCTGGATGTCAGTTATTAGTTATCTCCTGCTAATTTTCCCTCTGAAAGTTCTCCACTGCCTTAACCAGGTATTGAACTCACCTTCTGTGGGTCTGTCACTGGATCTAACCAACGCCTTTATCCACTGTGCCATGTGTCCTTGACGAAAAAATGTGTAAAAATGATGCTGAAAACATTAGGTTTATAATACTCAGAAGTTCATACCCAGAAATTCCAACCAGCTGAAGAAGGCCGGGGCGTACAACGGCCGAAACGTTGTGACAAATATGGCGACAAAGATGAGGACAATAGTCCGACTAATGTAAATACTGCTCATCAGTCATATATCGAATGATACATGATTGCCTAAGCGTGTATCACGCATGGTGCATAACTGACTGATCTATATCAATCTATCTGCCTGTATGTATGTCTGTTTACAATACATATGCTAACACAACCCATTTTTCTATTGGCGGATTCTTAATAAAAGTGGGAAAATATGAAGAGTGATTCTGATCCGCGAATCAACACCTAGATGTCTGACTCATATTACCCACAGCTAAACCCCGAGGAGTAGACTGACTTTCATTACGTGAGTTATCTGATCCAAAGTATATTTACTGGGAGAAAACAGCCAGCTTGTTGATAGAAAAGAAATTGCGTGTGCACATGAAAAATAGTAAATTGGAAGATTCCGATATCTCTTCACGGCGATTTTAATTAACATTTACAACCAGACGAGCCTAAGAAAACTAGATGTCCTACCGAGATTTATTATCAGTGTGCACAATCAAATATGCAGATGACACCTTGATGATGGCGAGCGCAGTCGGAAAATTTCAGAAGCTTCACCGACCCGTTCAACTTCAGGGGTCAATTACGAAATTTAGATAGTGAACTGCCAAAGGTCAGTTACTAAAACTGACTTTAAATATCGACTTTATAATTTAGCCAACTTAGGCTATAAATTTTTTTATGAGTTGCTTTCGGGGCCGGATATTTGGCTGACAGACATTTGGCCGGCGGACATTTGGTATTTTAATTAGCAGTACAGTGTAACCCGGATATAAGAGGCCGGGATATAAGAGAAACCCGGATATAAGAGAAACCCGGATGTAAGAAACCCGGATATAAGAGAGATTTTCTCTGGTCCCAAATTAGAGCCTGTGTTAATGTATATAAAATAGACCAAACCCGGATACAAGAGAAACCTGGATATAAGAGACTTCTTCTCCGGTCCTGACAACTCTCTTATATCCGGGTTACACTGTACTATAAGGTAGAATTGGACTAATAATTACCACTGAATTTCAAGTGACTAAATTACTAAATCTAAATTTAAAGTAAAAAGTTTTCTTATTTCAATATTTGTTTATTGAAATTATTATTTCAAAAAAAATATTTGAGTGCAATTGGGTAAAAAGTAGCACCAAATTGTTTAAATTCGTATTTAACAATAAGATAAAAGCTAGTTCATCCCTCTAAGATAATGATCATTAAAAGCGAATTTGAAAGATTTTTCATATCGTAAATGCTTAAGATTTTTGCTGTAGTAAAATGTTCTTTGTCTCAAAAAACTTATCATCTTACAGTAATACTAGAAGTAAAATATAATATATCCAGAATAGAGTTAAAAAAGAGACTGTAAAAATAAAACATAAAGTAACGAAAAATTATAAAGGAAACAGTAACTCAATATAAATATATGCAGCACATTATGATAAAGAGTGTGACATACATGTAAGTACGCCACTATTAATATAAATGTCATACCGGTTAATCTCCGTCGGCCAAAGGTCCGTTCGACCAAATGTCCTTTCGACCAAGTGTTCATCGGCCAAATGTCAGTCGGTCAAATGTCCGTTGGCCAAATGTCTCTCGGTCAAATGTCCGTTCGGCCAAATGTTTCGCGGCCAAATCTCCTTTCCGTCAAATACCTCTCGGCCAAATGTCCTTTCGGGCAAATGCCATTTCGGCAAAATGTCCGTCGGTCAAATGTCCGTTGGCCAAATGTCTCTCGGTCAAATGTCCGTTCGGCCAAGTGTTCATCGGCCAAATGTCAGTCGGTCAAATGTCCGTTCAGCCAAATATCTCACGGCCAAATGTCCATCTGCCTAAATGTCCATCAGGCCAAGTGTCCGTCGGCCAAATGTCCGTCCAGCCAAATGTCCGTCGGCCAAATGTCTCACGACCAAATATCTCACGGCCAAATGTCCATCCGCCTAAATGTCCATCAGGCCAAATGTCCATCCGCCTAAATGTCCATCCGGCCAAATTTCTGTCGGCCAAATGTCCGTCCGGCCAAATGTCCGTCCAGCCAAATGTCCGTCCAGCCAAATGTCCGTCGGCCAAATGTCTCTCGGTCAAATGTCCGTTCGGCCAAATGTTTCTCGGCTAAATCTCCTTTCCGTCAAATACCTCACGGCCAAATGTCCCTCCGGCCAAATGTCCGTCCAGCCAAATGTCTCACGGCCAAATATCTCACGGCAAAATGTCCATCCGCCTAAATGTCCATCAGGCCAAATGTCCGTCGGCCAAATGTCTCACGGCCAAATATCTCACGGCCAAATGTCCATCCGCCTAAATGTCCATCAGGCCAAATGTCCGTCGGCCAAATGTCCGTCCGGCCAAATGTCCGTCGGCCAAATGTCTCACGGCCAAATATCTCACGGCCAAATGTCCATCCGCCTAAATGTCCATCAGGCCAAATGTCCGTCCAAATGTCCGTCGGCCAAAATGTCTCATGGCCAAATATCTCACGGCCAAATGTCCATCCACCTAAATGTCCATCAGGCCAAATGTCCGTCCGGCCAAATATCCGAGGACCGTTTTCTTTTTTTTATAGTTTCTACTGAAGTCTTAATGTTGTTTTCGCACTAAAAGTATCGCTGCCAATAAACTCGACGTTGGCGCTAGCAGGTGGCAAATGTACCAGAAAATGCCAAGCACAAGGTAACACGTCGTCGGCATCATGATAAAATTAAAACAACAACCAAAAAAAAAATAAATAAAAAAATAAAAAAAATAATGCTAACCACCAGTTCTCGTACACTTAGCGGTCAATGTGTTAATGGAAAACGGTGGAAAATGAACAAACCAGTCAGCAGTTTGATTGTTTATTACAATATCAGATCACTTCTACGGCCTTCATTAGGTGTAAAATCCGGAAGTGGTGAGAAGGAGGTTTCATGGGGAAAAAAAAAGTCGCAAAATAAAAAAGGATGATGGCGCGTTTTTCTGTCCAAAAAGGGCATCGCTTTGATAGATAGATAGATAGATAGATAGATAGATAGATAGATAGATAGATAGATACGAAAAGGCAGGAATAGATAGATAGATAGATAGATAGATAGATAGATAGATAGATAGATAGATACGAAAAGGCAGGAATAGATAGATAGATAGATAGATAGATAGATAGATAGATATGAAAGGCATATATAGATAGATAACGGGAGGGAGATAGATATATTTGAAAGGCACAGATAGATAGATAGATAGATAGAGAGAGAGAGAGAGGGGGGAGAGGGAGATAGAGAGAGATGAAAGGCATAGATAGATAGATAGATAGATAGATAGATAGATAGATAGATAGATAGATGAAAGGCATAGATAGATACGAAAGGTTTTAATAGATAGATTGATAGATAGAAAATCATTGTTTATTTTCAAATAGTTTATGCAATATTCACTCGAAAAAAAAAACAAAAAACATCCTTACAATCCGGAATATTTTTTTCAGTTTTAAAAAACCCTCAAAGTGTCGATAAGCCGTAACTAAGCAAATCTAACAATCAATTCTAAAAATGTTAAAAAAATATTTTGCATTGGTAGTCATTCATAATCTTCAGTGTGTAATTGAGAGTCACAAGACCCTGTAAAGTAGTATTGAGAGAGCTCAAACCTCTTTGGCTGGTTTGAATTTAGAGTTTTCCATCTACTCGATTTGTCCCCAATCAAGTCTATAGGAGCGAGTCTATTCTGCTATTTCTGCAGATCTGAAAGGATTAGAGAGGAATATAGAAGAGATGGATTCCTATCTTTTGCCCCGGGGTATCCATGTAAGTGAATGTAATGAACTCCACTGGAATTCGAACTCGGCTCTCCGATTCCTGAATCGATTGTGATACGAGGTCTGATCAAAAATTATCAGGACTAGTACTATTAAAAAAAAAACAAACTACAACACATATCAATTTGGCATTTAATCATCTTCGAAGTAGTCCTCTTCTGAAATGACACACTTTATCCAGCGTCGAACTTCTTCATCTTTTCTTCTTCTTCTTCTTCTTCTTCTTATTATTATTATTAGTAGTAGTAGTAGTAGTAGTAGTATTAGTAGTAGTAGTAGTAGTAGTAAGTCGGAATACGACTCACAGTAATTAAAAAGAATCTAAAATGATTGAGACGAGATAGGCAATGTCGTGCGAACAATCTACCTCGTAGATTAAATAAAGGGTTTCAATTCGGAAATCTTATAAACTTTTACAAAATATTGCAGTGACAATCATCAATATAAAGGCTGGTCGTTATTTTAAGAAGTGGGTACAAATGAACAGATTTGAATTAGACAACTTTTTCCATTTCACTAAAACAGCCGTTAAACATTTCTTTCTTTCTTTCTTTCTTTCTTTTACTTGCTCACTGAAACCAAATAGTGTTTTTCCCTCTTTACAAGGGATCAAAAACGGAATACACCATCATTTATTAAGTATTGGCAGGACGCAACGGTGATGCGAATTAACGAAGCGAGGGACAAAGACAATTATATTAGGATGTGCAGGCCATAATCACCTTCGAAATAGTCCCCTTCTGAAATGATACACTTTATCCACCGTCGAACTTCTTCTTCATCTTTTCTTCTTCTTCTTCTTCTTCTTCTTCTTATTATTATTATTATTATTATTATTATTATATTATTATTATTATTATTAGTAGTAGTAGTAGTAGTAATAGTAGTAGTTGTAGTAGTAGGAGGAATGAAAAGGAGGAACTATGACGTTCAGTAACTAAAAAGAATCTAAAATGATTGAGACGAGATAGGCAATGGCGTGTGAACAATGTACTTCGTAGATTAAATAAAGGGTTTCAATTCGAAAATCTTATAAACTTTTACAAAATATTGCAGTGACAATCATCAATATAAAGGCTGGTCGTTATTTTAAGAAGTGGGTACAAATGAACAGATTTTGAATTTGATATCTTTTTTCCATTTCATTGAAACAGCTGTTAAACTTTTCTATCTTCGCTTCCCTTTCTTTCTTTCTTTCTTTCTTTCTTTCTTTTATTTTCTCACTGAAACCAAATAGTGTTTTTCCCCCTCTTTCCACGGGATCAAAAACGGAATCAACCATTATTTATTGAGGTATTAGCAGGGCGTAACGGTCGTGCAAACTAGCGAAGCGAGCGACAAAGACAATTATATTAGGATAAGGTCCTAACAAGCCCCGGAACGAAGGAACAAGCATAATTTTAACGTGATTGTTTTTATTTATGCGTATCAGCTGACATACACACAAAATCTGAACTTTATATACAAGTTACGTATTATAGGTCTGAAAATACTGGTGATTTTTTTTTTTTTAATAGAGATTAAATATTTGATGACCTTGTGCCTGATTTGTTCGAAAAGCAACAAATAACCATTTTTCTTCGTGTCAGGTTTTTTTTTCTCGTTTCCTTGGCAAAATACTAATTTGTCCAAACTTCCTCTCTTTACGCGCTGCTAATCTGTCCTCAATCCACACACGCTGGGTCTTATTTCTTTTCTCATCCCCTCGGCTAGGGGAGAGAGGGTGTCATGAGGTGAGACGGCCAGTGAGAAGCCGGGCTTTGCCGTTATCTAGTCTTCTCTTTAGACTCCAGAGCCATATCTTCCTTTTCATCTGATGATATAGATTTTCAATTGCTCTCTCTCTCTCTCCCTCCCTCTCTCACTCTCTCTCCCCCTCTCTCCCTCTCTCACTCTCTCTCGCGCGCGCTTTCGTCTGCCACGTGTGTTTCAGTGGGAGCTACTGAGGCTGGGGTGTAAAATGGGCGGGATCCCCAAAGCGTGGGAAAGTTGTCGGACGTAACGTACATCTGCCGTCGGGATGTTCTCAGCTGATGGAGGGCGACTGGCCGGCTAGTTTATTGGCACGCGAGCGGTGGGTGGTGGTGGCGGGGCTGTTTACGCACAGCGTAAAGAGAGTGACATTTTCGTTTTAGAAGAATATATTAAAAGTTGGGGTTCTACTGATGATCTTAAACGTTTTCTGGTTAGGGACACTTCAACATATAAATGGGTCATGCTATTCAAATTAACATGTTTTAAGAGGGTTTTAAGAGGCATAGAAGATTTTGAACTTGCAGGGCATTGAGTGCAAATCAGACAGATATAAACAAAGCGTAACTTACCAAACGAGCTAGTGTAAACATGGACGGCAGTAGAGGATTTACTTGAGACAGCAAACATTTAGTAAGAATTAAAACGACAGGAACATTGTGGTGAATTATTTAATATCTAGATGCGGAAGTAGTGACAAATTCAGTGGGACCAGTCAGTCAGTTATGTGTCATGCGTGATACACGCTTAGGCGATCATGTATCTTTCGATACATGACTGACGAGGCAGATCTTTTTTTTTCCGCATTAGGTTGACATTTCTTTCTGTGGTAGATCAGTTGCATCCAAGGCAATAGAACCCGGTCTGTCCTGCTATTTATCCATAGTTGGGGCAGGGGGGAGAGAAGAAGAGGATTCATATCTTTCTCAAGGGTATTAGCACGTATGTAAATGTAATGGATTCGACTGGAATGTCAGTCTGTCAGTTATGTGCCATGCGGGATACACGTTCAGGCGATCATGTAACTTTCGATACATGACTGACGAGGCAGATCCTTTTTTCCGCATTAGGTTGCCAATTCTTTCTGCGGTAGACCAGTTGCATCCAAGACTATAGAAGCCGGTCTGTCTTGCTATTTACCTGCTGAGAGGGTGGGTGGGGGGTAGAAGATTCATACCTTTTTCAGGGGTATTAGCACGTAATTAAATGTAATGGATTCGAGTGGAAAGTCAGTCAGTCAGTTATGTGCCATGCGGGATACACATCTTTCGATACATGATAGACGAAGCATTTTTCCCCCAGTAGGTTTCATTTCTTTCTCCCATCAAAGGCTGTAGAACCCTATCCGTCCTGCTATTCATCCATAGCTTTGGTGGGTGGGTGAGGAGAAGAAGGGGATTCATTTCCTAAGGCTATTAGCACGTAGTCTAATGGCTCTGACTGAGATTCGAACTCGGCTCTTCAATTTCTCAACACGAGCCGCTTTCCATTACTCCAGTGGAACCACGAGTAAATATTTGTTCATTAAAATTAGTTCACAGGCGAAGGGAAGCTAATGATTTTATGGCGGGAAAATGACTCCGGCAGCCATATTTTTTTCTTATTGATAGGACTGGATCTTCTTTTTTTGTGACATGTCTCTTCAGGATGTTGACCCAACTAAAACCTATACAGTCAACAGATGTAAGTAACATGAGATAATATGTTGTCAAAAGCTTCTTTTCATTCATGTGGGCGTATGCGTTTTTTAAAATCATTTCACCCCCCAAGCAAGACAATAAAGCTACTAAGACGCAAGAGGTTACTGAACATGAGAGAATATGAGAAAAAGTAAAAAAAAAAATATTATTAAGGAGAGCGAACAATAAAAGAACAAGAATTAAGAAGACAGAAGATAACGATTGATATTGCTTTTAAAGTTTTAATGATCAAGTTGACTGGAAAGCAAGAAACCGGAAGAGAGTTCCACAAGCAAGAAGTGCGATAGATGAAACTCTTATCACAGATGTTATAGTTACATCAAGCCATTTCAACTGTAAGATGATGAAACCTTCCTAACAATCTAGTACCGTGCTTAAATTCATAAATTCTAGTTACCAAAAATGAAAGTTCTTTAGAATAATTACCATGAAAATAATTCTAGAAAAGGCAGAGGGAGGCTACATTACGGGAAAAGTGGGAAAGTGACTGAAAGCAAAATGCCAAGTCAGGATTGATATTATTCTTTTTTTTTTATCAAGAATCTCTAAATATATATCAGAAGTTCCAGAGGTTCAATGCATGCGCTAATGGTTGACATATATATGTCTGACAGATTCCCGTGAGAAAAAAAAATTGTCTCGTACGAGTTAGTTAACCAGTTTTTCTAGCAGTAGATCTAGCAGTTGATTCACTTAATTTTTCCACTTAAGGTCAGCGGGAAATAACAGACCGAGAAGGTGCAATGATCAGTCCGACTATTAATCAGCTTAGTGTCAACTTACTAATCAACTGTTGAAGTTCTTAATCTTAGACTATTTAAGGCTATTAGCCAGGCCGTCTGGAAGAGTACTGAAGGGGTGCTAGCTACTCTACAACCAATTATCGAAGACTTTGCATGATCTATAAAAACACAGGTACACGTCCTTCTGCATTTGTATTGCTCTTTCTAATAACATTCTGAGTATAGATATCGCCTTCCTTGTAACAGGGAACTCTATTGGACAATCAACCAAATGAGCCCTATAACGCAACCTGTCATCCATCTTTTACGGGAGTCAGAAGATTTGTTTCACCGTTTATTTTCTGGTCGGGTGGAAAGCAATAGTCATTCTTCATTTGTTAGACACTCGTAGG